TTTTATAAGCCAACAGGAGTAACATACAGAGGGAATTATCACCCCGAAGTCTAGAAATTTGCAGTCTTTCAGTGTTCTCTTGTGAGTGTTAAAGTTTTGCAACTTAAAATTACAGGTATGTTACAACTTTAATAAATACTTCAAATTCATATACAAGAAAGACTAGACAGTGATGATCCACTTCGTCAAAAAATGTGCCATTGAATGTCTGTAAATAGCTCATCTATGACAAAATATGGCTTCTCCATAAAATCATGGATATCGAGTAACTGCTTTCTTCTTTTTTTAAATTAACAAATGGTATTGCCAATAGCATCACATTGAGTTGCTATCTTTTCTCCTAAAGATGCCAAAGCACTGCCACATCTGTGACCTTTTTTATACCTTTTCATTGGGTTTGGTAGTTTAACACCTCTTTACCACAAAGTTATTTCTTTTTAGTGATAGGAAAATTGAGGGATTAATAGACTTGTCAGCAATCACAAAACGATGTTATAGCAAAATGGAGCTTACTTTTGATTTGTCCAACTAGGAAATGTTAAAAAAAAAAAAACTTTATCCTGAGTGACCACATATAATATTTAAAAACAAAAAAAAACAGAAGGAATATACTCATTAATGAATTTTGTTTGGATTTTCTGTTGCAGCATTTAAACTACATTGTAAAATCACAGAGCTAATGTCTTACATTCTAAGTTAAATTCCCTAATAATCTAATACAGGTCTTAGTAGGACATTATGTTTATTATCAGTTTGAAATGCACCCTTTACTTTTACCAAATTGCTACATTTTGCTTGAACTTCAAAGGTCTTTGAAAGTCAAGGAAATCTTCATTATTGAAAAAAAAAAAAAAAAGACATTGTTTCACAGTAAACGCAAAAAGAGTATTTGATAAAATACCTCATTATCAAGTAAGCATTTATGCATCTCAATCAAATTGTATTTTTCTTTATAAAAGTATTCATAGAATTTTGTTAGTTCTTTCTCCTTGCATTTTTTTCCCCTTTTGGGTAATATCATACAATGGTCTCACTGAAAGTGTTTGTTAATATGATATTGTCTTAGAAATGGAACCCCAGGAAAATTATAGTCATAAGTCAAGTACTGTTTAGACAACTGATATTTATTCCAGCAAATGCTTTGTGAAACCAGAAAACTATTTCTCCATTTTGTATTTTTCTATCAGGTTGATGCAAAAGTAGGCAGTTTTTGCCATCAAGCAAATGGCAAAAACCACAATTACTTTTGCACCATACTAATAACAATTTGGTAATAAAAACATAGAAAATAAGCATAAGCTACTTCTAAACTCCGGAAAAAAATTGTTCACTGGGATATAGATAGTCCAATTCTTAACATACAGCACAGGGAATGTTCAATAAATGTCACTGTCTCACTGATAGTATTAATGCTAAAGGGTTACTTCTCTAAATATAATATACATTTATTGAAAAAAAAAGTGAGGTTTTCTTGAGTATCTAGAGTTCACATTCCAGGATTTTCTGACTACTGAATAATTTACCAACTGGTACTGATATGGATAGATAACAACCTAGTAAAATTTTGGGGTATGATGTTTACAGGTGATGAATAGATCTTACTGTAGCAGTTTTTTATTTTCATCATTAGAAATTGTCCTTAGTTTTTAAGTGCTTTTATTCCACTGCATTATGTTTTCTAAATATACCTCCCATGCATCACTGCAATTTGAAATATTTGAAAAAAGCACTAGGTACAGAAGAAACAGTCAAGTTGGGGGCTCTAAGAGCAGTAATTGAGGATTCCCACAGCCTCCAGTATGGTCTCTGGGTATAGGAATGCAGCCTGGTAATTGCATTAAGACTCTTAGTCTTGAGGCTTGGTACTCCGGGGATCTCTTTATTCCAGTGAGTTAGGCTACCATGTTCCTTATTAACAACTCTCTATACAGGGAGAATGTGTACTTGCATGTACATCCTGCTTTTTATCATTTAGCTATTTAAAGGCTTTCAATTCTTTGTGCACCAGCTTATGAATTACAGTTTTTTGTTTAGATATAGCTATGCCACTTTTTGTCTTCCACATTGATTTCAAACTGACTTGCAAAAATCAGAATTCTTATTTCTTCATGGCAGTTTGATGTAATGAATTCTACATATTTTTTAAGGGGAAATGTATAAAAGTAGCTAGGACCTTTAAACTTGTGGAAAACAATATTTTCAAGAGAACAATTAAACACAAACATAAATCCTTAACCATCTAAATGAGACTTTTAAAAGTTATAAATCAAATGCTTTTCCTAAGATGTCTTTTAACATCTTTAGCCCCCTCCTTACCAGAAATTTGTCCACTTCTTGATCTCTTCTTAATTATCTTTATCTTTCATCTCATAACATATCCTTTTAAGGGGAAATGGTTTCACAGATCACTTTAAGATTTTTCCTTTAAATGTATGATTTAAGAGTGTCATAACAAGTAATCAAGAAGTTTATATAAGATAATGTAAAAAGATGAGCAGGCATATAATAGTCATTTTTCCAAAAGCACCATTGATAACCACTTTAAACAATCTAGTAAATGAATCCAAAATTAAATTAAGCTTTTATAAATTCATATTAGGTTTAACCATTTGCTCTAATTTATTGATGTAAAACTGCCTCTAACAATTACTGAAATTACAGATTTAGAAAGGAAACATTCCATTAGCTATCGCTGCCACAATAGCATAATGTTACTTTGTTCTGTTACTTTGGTCCACCCCCTTAAGAAATAGGGATGTTATTATGTGGTCTTATTTTACATTCTGACTTCAGTCACTTGGGTTTGGAGGGCATGGTTTCCACTAACATTAAAAGATCTAGCTCTATAAATTACAACTAAAGACCTAAAAAAGTCTCCGCAAATTTAATTCTCAAAACATCTTTTGGGATAGAAAGTATTTCTATTCTTCAAAGATTAGAGAACCGAGTTCAATGATTTACTATTTTAAGTTATCATGATATGATTGCTAAAATCTAAGTCTTAATGGAAATCAAGATTTCATAGTAGTAGATATGAAATCTTGCTTTCCATTAAGACTTAGATTTTACCTAAATGATGACTCTCAGTCTTGAGGTTTGGTACTCCAGGGATCTCTTTATTCCAGTGAGTTAGGCTACCATGTTCCTTATTAACAACTCTCTATACAGGGAGAATGTGTACTTGCATGTACATCCTGCTTTTTATCATTTAGTTATTTAAATTTATCATTTAGTTTAATGATAACTGCTTTAGTATGTCAAAGTTTAAGACCCATCCCCATTTTTTTTTAACTGCTTAAAAGAATGGCCTTGCCATTTTCTTTGGCCAGGAATTAACTACAAGATAATAAATTTGCCAATGCTTTCTTTTCATAGTTGTTCTTTGTACTGGGACAGGAAAGGGTGCTTTATCACTCATTATGGTTGTTCGTGGCCCAATCCAAATCATATACACCCTGGCTGCTACTAACAGTTTTAGAATAAACAAAAAGAACTATAATACAGCAGGTTCTACGTTTATAAAGCCCATAAGCTGATTTCGTACTGAAATTAAAAACAGTCTCAAGAATTTAAATGAATCCTGGAATCACAGCAAATTCAGGCAATTTGGGAATATGTTGGTAACCCTTAAAGCTTTTTTTAAAACTGACTTCACCCTGGGCAAGTAACCATCCCTTGATGCGTTGTTGGAGACAGCATTTCTGGCAGGAAGATAATTTTCTGACTCAATCTGGTTTGCTGTTCTTGTTTAATCATCCCCATTTCTCTGTACATTTTACTCCTCTGACTACAATGGTCAACATTTATTTTCAGAAGTTTTCAAGTGATTTAGTTCTTCCAGAACTCTTTTTATCCCATCTCAGTCTTCCCCAGCCCCCATTCCTATCGCCCTCATTTCACTAAGATTTTGCTAAACATTAGAAACGAGCACATGACCTCCAGTCTTCAACGTCTCAGAACAAACCGACATAAAAACGTTTGATTAGTTCGTTTGTAAGCTTCTCTAGGCTTGGAATTTAAAATTGCCTTTAGTTCGTCAATTCTTAAAGAACCTTCAGATCAAAATTTAAATTTTAAAAATTTTAAATAAAGAAACCGCTCCCTTTTTTAACCTTTAGCCCCGCCCATGCCCCCCCCCAACCCAGGTTCCACGAGAAACTGCAGGAAACCGGAGGAGGCGGAGCGGTGACGTCACGACGCCGGTGCGTCACGGAACGGCGGCGGCTGCGGCGCTGGCGGTGGCTGCGGCAGCGGCGGCATTTTAGTCGGCAGCGGCGGCGGCAGCGGGGCTGCTGCTCCTCCCAGCATCCCTGGCGCGGCCATTTCAGCCCCATCTTGGCCCAGCTGAGGGAGCTGCAGCGGCCGCTTCAGCAGTTTGAATTTCAGTTTCTCCAGGGTTTAGGAATTGGGCGCACCGAGGAGGAGCCGAAGAAGCCACCACCGCTACCTCACACAGCCGGGGCGCCTCCGCTCCCGAGCCAGCGGTCTGCCGCCGCCGCCACCGCCCCTCTCTGAGAGAAGCCGCGAGGAGAGGCCGAGACCGCCGTCGCCGCCCGCCCGCAGGGGTGGTTCCCCCTCTGAGGGGAGGACCGGGCCGGCTTTCCCCTCCCCCAGAGCGGGTTTCCGCCAGAGACAGTCGACATGTCCCTGGGGCTGAGCTCCGGCTAGAGCCGGGGAGGGAGGGCCGCCTGCCCGCGCCGCAGCCCCACCGCCCGCCCGCGGACCTGCAGCCAGCCCCGGCCCGCGGCTCCCGACTGAATCAGGCATCTCCAACTCCAGACTCGCCGCTTCAGTCCGAGGGCCCAGAGCTGACGCCGACACCGGCCTGAGGAGCCCGAGCGGGGCAGCACCGCCCCTCACGCCGCGGCCGCCGCCTCCTCTTCCTCCTCCTCCTCATCCTCCTCCTCCTCCTCCTTCTCTTCCTCCTCCTCCTCCTCCTCCTGCTCCTGCTCCTCCTCCTCCTCCTCCTCCTCCTTCTTCTCCTCCTCCTCTTCGCCCTCCCACTCCCACCCCCAACCAAGGCCTGCTGACCGCGCCGAGCTGGACACACCACCGCTGCTGGGAGACGGGAGAGGAAGCAGCCGGCCCTCCCCTGGGTTCGCGCTCCCGCCGACTCTGAGGGAATTGAATTGAGGCGCCGCGGCTGCGGGAGCTGAAAAGGAAGGAGGAGCCGTCGCGGGACTGAGACGGGGGCAGAGCCGAAGAGACCAACACAGAGAAGGAAACGAGGAGGAGGATGTCTCACTGGGCGGCCAGCGCCTGGATCAGCCCGTGACTGTTACAGCGGCGGGCCTCAGACCCCAGCGCAGACTCGGACTTTGTCTTTGGGGGCCGGTGTTCTGCCCTCCCCGGTTTCTGGCAGGATCCAGAGGAGCCGGCGTGCCTCTCTGCCCTCCAGCCTTCTTCACCATGTCCAAGATGCCGGCCAAGAAGAAGAGCTGCTTCCAGATCACCAGTGTCACCACGGCCCAGGTGGCCACTAGCATCACCGAGGACACCGAGAGCTTGGACGACCCGGATGAGTCACGCACAGAGGACGTCTCCTCCGAGATTTTCGACGTCTCTCGGGCCACGGATTATGGCCCTGAGGAGGTCTGCGAGCGCAGCTCCTCCGAAGAGACACTTAACAATGTTGGGGATACGGAGACTCCCGGGACCGTCTCCCCAAACCTCCTTCTGGATGGGCAGCTGGCAGCGGCGGCGGCTGCTCCCGCCAACGGAGGAGTCGTCGTTTCCACCCGGAGCGTGGCTGGGGCGCTTGCCAGTACCCTGGTGGCGACCGCCACTTCGTCCCCCGCCTCCGGAGCACCCGGCGGCCCCCAGGTCGCGGGCTCATCCGCCGGGCCAGTGACTGCAACCCCATCTCAGCCTCCCACCACTTGTAGTTCCCGTTTTCGTGTGATCAAGCTGGACCACGGGAGCGGAGAGCCCTATCGACGCGGCCGATGGACGTGTATGGAATACTATGAGAGGGATTCAGACAGCAGCGTCCTGACTAGATCCGGGGATTGCATTAGACACAGCAATACTTTTGACCAGACTGCAGAGCGGGACAGCGGCTTGGGAGCCACGGGAGGGTCGGTGGTGGTAGTGGTGGCTTCCATGCAGGGGGCGCACGGGCCCGACTCGGGAACTGACAGCTCCTTGACTGCTGTGTCACAGCTACCCCCGTCGGAGAAAATGAGCCAGCCCACTCTGGCCCAGCCGCAGAGTTTTAGCGTTGGGCAGCCACAGCCGCCGCCGCCACCCGTAGGTGGGGCTGTGGCTCAGAGCTCGTCTCCGCTGCCGCCGTTCCCGGGAGCCGCGACCGGGCCACAGCCGATGATGGCAGCCTCGCAGCCAAGCCAGCCCCAGGGAACGGGGCCCGGAGGACAGACTTTGCCGCCGACGAATGTAACCCTGACGCAGCCGGCTATGCCCCTGCCTCCGCAGCCCGGCCCGGCTGTCGGCGCTTCTGCGACGCCGCAGCCCCAGCAGTTCGCGTATCCTCAGCCTCAGATACCGCCCGGACATTTGCTGCCCGTCCAGCCATCCGGCCAGAGTGAGTACCTGCAGCAGCATGTGGCCGGCCTGCAACCGCCAAGCCCCGCACAGCCCTCGTCCACTGGCGCCGGAGCGAGCCCCGCCACGGCGGCCAGCCTTTCCGTGGGCACTGGCCAGAATGCCTCTTCGGTGGGCGCGCAGCTCCTAGGCGCGTCTTCCCAGCCCAACGAAGCGGTGCCCCCCCGGCCGGGACCAGCGCAAGGCGGGCAGGTCGCGCCGTGTCAGACGGCTGGAGTGTCCCCAGCTGCTGTGGGAGGCGTGGTGCAGGCTGGCATGGGTTCTGCCGGGGCTGGGCAGCCCCAGTCCGTGCCTCCGCCGCAGATGGGTGGCAGTGGTCCACTGTCAGCCGTACCTGGTGGCCCTCACGCCGTGGTGCCCGGAGTCCCAAACGTGCCTGCAGCCGCGCCCGCTCCAAGCGTGCCTGGTGTGTCTACCACTTCTGTTACTATGCCAAATGTACCCGCGCCTCTGGCCCAGTCGCAACAGCTGAGCAGCCATACGCCAGTCAGCAGGAGCAGCAGCATAATCCAGCACGTTGGGCCGCCCTTAGCGCAAGGAGCACACAGTGCACCAACAAGTCTACCACAGTCTGACCTAAGCCAGTTTCAGACTCAAACCCAGCCTTTAGTCGGGCAAGTCGACGATACTAGAAGAAAATCAGAACCCCTACCTCAACCACCACTTTCTCTCATTGCTGAAAATAAGCCTGTTGTGAAGCCGCCTGTTGCAGATGCCCTGACAAACCCCCTTCAGTTAACACCTATGAACAGTCTGGCCACCTCTGTATTCAGCATAGCTATTCCTGTTGATGGCGATGAAGACAGGTATGGAAATCTTTATTTTAAATATTTGATAGAAATGCTTGGCAAACATTGCAGCTTAGGATGCAACTTAGGGAGATGTGTTGCCAACTGAGGTCCTTTAGCATTTTTAAATATAAAACTTAGTGTTCGGTGAAATTGATTTAGGCTGCTGATGCTGATGTCAAAGCGTAATGAGCGAATTGGTCTCGTCACAGTTGTTTAAAAGCACTAAAATGGGTAGGGATGCAACATTGTTTACTCAAAGGTGAATTTTAGCTTAATCTTACCGTTTAATGATGGTAGCTAGTATGTTATTCTCCCATAAAATTGTCTGTTTCTTACATAACTGTCTGTTTCTTACATATCAATCATACCCGAACACTTAAGGCAGAGAGATTTGTCAGTGTGAGTTTTGAGGCTGAGACAAAATTACTTACAAGTTTTCCTTTCTTGAAAACCAGAAGGCCCTCTAGTGAAAAAAATAAAAAAAAAAAAAAAAAAAAAAAAAAAAAAAAAAAAAAAAAAAAAAAAAAAAAAAAAAAAAAAAAAAAAAAAAATCCGTGTAAGGAATCTCCTTCAGTGTAACTGGAAAGGCTGGAGACATAATGGTGAAATGTCAAGTCCGGCTTTGAAGATCATACTTAGTTCAGCCTTTTGATTAAAGGAGGTAGCAAGGTCATGAGTCTTCCCAGAGACTTCTCTAAGATATTATTTTTGTTGTTGTTAAGCAAAAAATGTACTGAAAAGATGTTATCTTCCATCAGTCTTTTTACTATAGCAAAGGGAGGTTGAGATCGATCTTTTAACTGTAGTGAAAGCTATAATTTTTGAAATTAAGACTAAGTTTATAGTGTAAATGTCAATAATTGGTTCCCTGTATATAGGGAAGTTTTTTTAATGTCTTAAATAAGAATTGGTGTATTGCTACACCAGTAGTACCACAACAGCTGATATTTGGTTATGGCTTAATGAGGATTTTTAGTGGTTTTGAGAAAATGTCACATGTAAATTGACATACATATTTCAAATTTTTTAAAGCTGACTCGTTGCAATGTTTTAAAATTATATTTAAGAAGTATAGAAAAAGTTTCAATTATTTTACAGTTAGACGTTTCTTTGCTGTGGTTTTTGTTAGCGAGAGGCTAATTTTAGGTGTTTTTAAAAGATCAAAACTAATATGGATTTCCAGAATAATTAGTATGTAGACAAATACAATGATATATATGTTAAAGCTTTCTCTTCCTATGGTTTCTTCTGAGTTCCTTCATGTTTTTTTCTTAACTTCTCATTTCTAATTAGCCTTGTATTTTTGTTGTATGCTTGTGTTGGTTTGAAAAATGCTCACTGAAATTTATTCATCTTCTCTCCTTTTTGTAATTTAAAGTTCATCTTTTTTTGTAGGTGACTTGCTTATGGGGAGTCTTTCTTCACTTGAGAACTCTTAGAAAATACCACGTGTCCATAAGTGAGCTCAGCTAGCTAGTCATTGAGAAATTTTGTATGGATGGGACTACCAAGTAAACTGATTCCACAAGCCACTCAGAAAAATCCCTCTACTTCTATAGTTGCTCCCATTGTCACACACACGGACACACCTGTAACACGGATTGAGTTTTATTTTTTCACCTTTGGTAATAATCAACAGGCATCTTCCCTTTCTAGCTGCCAGAAGCCAATTTTTTCCTGATAAGTTGGTAAATAACCTTTTGCTTACCTCTGATCCTATATGCTACCCCATATCTCTTCAAGAAATGATGACCGGTTTCCTGACCTAACCTGCTTTCTGTACACACACACATACACACACACACACACACACACACACACACCCATCCTAAGAATGCAGATTACATTTTCCCACCTCTTCACACCTCTCTGAGTTTACAGCATACATAGTTAGATTCCTCAGAACTTTAATACGATGATGAGGCATGAAGCAAAGAGTTCTGTTGATAGATGGAAACTCTGAAATGTATTCTTTAGGGTATGACATCAAAAATGCATTTATTTTTCCTCTTACTGTATTAAGAGCTGGTAAGCTGAACAATCTCGTTTCCAAATTTGTTAAATTTGAACAACAGATACTACTGTATCAGTGTTCTTATTAATTGCAACAGTTAATTCCTGCAGGGTTTTGATGTAATGTGCAGTCCTATTTTAAACATGACACTTCCCTCCCACACCCCAATCATTTAAAATCTACATTGCTTACCAAATGTTCATTTCTAATTTTTGTTATAGTCTTTCATTGGTTTTTAACTTGACATGCTAGTTTCCAAGATGTAATCTTACACATTTGACTGTTTTGTCACTGGTTCAACATACCTGGTGAAGGAATAAATCCATTAAGTAGAAATAGTTTTTTGTTTTGTTTTTGTTTTTGTTTTTTTTTAATAGAAAGCATTGGTTAAAAAAAAAAAAAGGCAGGGCATTTAAAAATTTTGTGTTTCAAATTAAATAACAGTTTTCTAGGCATATGTTTAAATTACTGGGATGAATACTTTTGAGGAGACAGTACTATCGTAACTGAAAATTTTAATTTTTATGTGATTTTGGGTTGCCACCTTAAATCTGCATACAGTGTTATATGTAGTCATTCAAATGTTAAATAAAACCAACTAGAGTGAGAGGTCTTGAGTAATTATGATTTAAACTTTGTAAGTAGTTTGACAAATTTCATCTCCTAAGGAAACATTTGTAAATAAGATGTATGCTTTTTAAAAAAAAATTTTTGGACTTTAGTATACAGTCTATTTCTTTGAGAAAAGGAAGGAAAATGGGAAATTAAAAAGTTTAAGGTAGTTTAGGTTGATACATTGAAAACTATCTTGTGATTTTGTTTCCAGTACCTAATACAAAGTTCTGTATTGGCTCAATTTTGAAATCAGTTATAATTAAAGAACCTTATAGTAATACATGTTAATACTATCACATCTTTAAAAGGCTGATGCTTGTATATGCAAAAAGTTCTCAACTAGTATTGCCTATTGACTACATTATTAATTACCATAAAGTTTATCTTTCTGGCCATTTTCATTAGAAAGGTTTATGGTCAGTTGTTGAGACTCTTGAAATTGATTTTGTGTAAACTGGTGGATGCGATGGTTGAAAATATAGTTCTTAAAGTCTAGTTACTTTCATAGTGAACTTTACAAAACTTGTTTAACACATTTAACAGTCTCCTGTAAATGAGAGGAGGTGCAAAATATTACTGGCCCTTTTGGAAAAGGAACACAGTACAAATCACTTTCCATAGATAGCCGACCAATGTGAACTCTGTAGGCCGCATTCCAGGAACTCTTATGAATGGCTGCAATTGTGAGTTGTCATCTGTGTCCAAAAGACTGTGGAAAACCTGAATCTAAGGATCCTTTGGTGCAGATATTTCTGTCTTGTTAATGGTTTTATTTGTGTGGTTTGCTAATGACTACTGATAAAGTATTATACATTGTGAATGTTAAGTGGTGTGTCCTGGTATGTGCTATAAATACACATTTTATTTGTATATATTTTAAACAAAATTCTGCTCTTTTTTCTTTTTTCTACTCTAAGTATATACCAGGAGGCAGAACTGCCTTGATCTTAGACCTCTGTTATATGAAAGTCTCACTGTATTGAAGTCTCTAAAGATGGAAATTCCTTACTTGAATCTCTGTTTCTTGGGAGCTTACATTTATCTGTTGGATCGTGAAGGTAATTTGGCTCTTGTAGGTTTACAGTTGATGTGTAAATCACATACTGGATACTATCTTCTGCCTATCTACACCTTTAAGAGTGGTCTTACTGAAGAGTTAGTAATAAAAATGTAAAATCATACATATGTGATACATTGTTTAGTATAAAAACTGATATTGGTGTATTCATCAGTGGTGCCACACAGATTACTAAAAATACTTTATTCATAAACATAGCTCGAAATAAAGGAAATGACAGATTTCCAAAAAGCCTTATGATTTTCCAAAGTACCCAAAATTCCCAACCCATAAGCTGTATCTGTAGAAGTGTGGCCTTTTATATTCACAGTGACACATCTTATATAAAATTTTATGTGGACTATATCATATGGGCCAAACATAGGTAAATTTTTTATAGAAAACATGATGGCTTGTATGTGCTGAATAATACAGATTCCAGTAATTATTTTAGTAACACTTGTTGTTTCTCTTTAGGAGATCACAACCCTTGAACTAAATCACCTTTATGAGAAGTCATTTTATATAGAACTGGTGGTAGGGGTATATATGTTCTCTACTTCCTGAGAATAAATATAATGCCAATTCATTTGTTATTTAAGAATCCTGCACCAGGGGCAGTAGCCCATGCCTGTAATAGCAACACTTTGGGAGACCAAGGTCAGAGGACTGCTTGATGCCAAGAGTTTGAGACCAGCCTGGACTACATAGCAAGGCTCTGTCTCTACAAAACATTTAAAAATTAGCCAGGTCTGGTGGCACCCACCCATAGTCTTAGCTGTTTGGGGAGGCTGAAGCAGAAGGATTGCCTGAGCCCAGGAGCTGGAGGCTACAGTGAGCGATACTATAATATTGCACTGAAGCCTGGGCCACACAGCAAGACCCTGTCTGTAAAAAAAAAATAATAATAATAATTCTGATAGCACTAATTTGGAAATAGTGAAATATGGTACTGGGTCTAAGAATGGGAGTCTATCTTTCTCTGCACCCGAAAAGATCAGAATCAGTTATGAACAAATAGCAGCCCGGCTAATGAAGTACTAAAAATCTGTTTCCTAATAAAGTAATGGTAGTTAGGAAAGTATAAAAGAATTCTGACCTTCCATTCCTAAAATGGCACGAGTTGGGGGAAGAGAAGTGTAGAATGATAGCAGATAACCAAGACAGAAGAAAATACAGTAGAATGGCATGAAATATAGTCTCAAAAGAAATAGGAACACTTGTGCATACTGAGGAACAGTGTTCTCATTCTTTCTTTGAAGAATTGTTTTAGTCCAGTGTTTATTTCCTTTTCTGAAGATTCTGTTTATTTCTTAATTGCATTACTCT